ATCAGGGTTGCTCCATAGTTGAAGTCAGACTTGTGGAATTTGATGAGAATCAACCCAACCACTATTAGTGATTTAGTAACAGAAAACAACAAATTTAATTTATAAATTTATTTTCCTTAATAAATAAGAACAACAGTATACATTTGCCTTCCTTAACCACCACAAAAGACAACAGAAGAGGGATCACCCTGCAAATAGATACAAGACGGACAGAATACAAGAGGAGTTGGCTTTTGCAAAGAACTGAGAAATGATGAGGCACCAAATGACAGTAGTTCTGATGGGTTTGGAGAGGGGAAACGGCAGATCCCGTGGAAAATGCAGGATGTGGAAGTGATCAGTAAATTGGCTTATTAGATCGTTGAAGAAGAGGGAAGAGAAACATTAGGCATTGGGCCATGCTGGCCGCTGAAGTCAGTCCATCACACACATGAGTACATTTCATTGGCCTGCAGATCTGAGAAGCAGGTTCGATTACCTCTATTTTATAGATTAGGAAAGAGGCTCAGGTAGGGCCGGGTGCTATTTCTCCATAAGGCAGTCCAAGCCCGTGAACAGATTTTGTAATAAAATCTAGGACGAGGAACTCTACTTGCTTTTGGATAATAAGGCCAGATTAGACTGAATAAGATCAACGTCCCATTATTAGGAGGATATGTTTTTCTTGAATACCAGAGTTGATCCCTGGAAGGAAATTAATCTCCAGGGTGGTGAACTATGTTGGATTTTAGGTGCAAGAGGCCCAAACCAACAACATCTTACCTTTGGGCTCCTACCCACTTCTATCAAATGGCCCAGAACTCTGGCAGGGGTCAGCAAGACCAAAACTCACAGGAGATCTTTTAACACTCTGAGTGCTGGTAAAGGGAAAATATGCAAGATTGAACATTGAATTGGAGGGCTGGCTGAGTCTTCACTGTTCTGTGGACAGAAGGAGAATTAGGGATGGGCCTTGGAAAGGCTTGAAGGAGAGGATCTCTGCAGGAGGAAGAGGAAGAGGAGGAAAAGGATCTTTTTTTTTTTTTAAGATTTATTTGACAGATCACAAGTAGGGAGAGGGGGAGGGAAAGGGGGGGGGGGGGGGCGGGAAGCAGGCTCCCCGCTGAGCAGAGAACCCAGTGTGGGGCTCAATCCCAGGACCCTGAGATCATGATCTGAGCCGAAGGCAGAGGAGCAACCCACTAAGCCACCCAGGCGCCCCAAGGAAGAGGATCTTTTCAGAAAACTGGGCAACCATGGAGGATACCCTAATGAAAACCTAAGCACCACCAGCAGTACAAGGGTGCAAGTTATCCAAACCAGGGAAGAAACCCTCAATGTCCTTGTTCTTCCATAGGGCTTTTGTTTTTTGTTCTGTTTTTGTTTTCTCTCCAGCCCTCTTGTGAAGAGTTCTGAGGTCCAGGAATGGCTGTAGCAGTGGTGGGTTGAGGGGTGAGGATAATCCCACTCCTTGCCAGTGGACAGGCATTGGCCTATGCCTCTACTGAGGACCACAGGACAGTGGGGGCACTAACTGGTAAAACCCCAGGCAGGAGAAACTATAAGTTTGAGTGGCTTTCTTTTCTCCCTTTCAGAGGGCAACCAGAGATAGTAAGAGGACAAAAAGGACATGTGTGTGTGGAGGTGGGGGTGGGGCAGTAAGGGAGGGTGGGGCCTGGCCATTGCTTCACTCAAGAGTTACTGTTTGTTCATGAGGCCCAGGTGGTTTGGACTGAGGTAATTCCAAAGCCTTCCACTTTTCATGGAGAGTGACTAACATTTTATTTTGTATATGTGCAGGTGCTTTTTTAGAGTTAATTGAGAGCCCAGCCTGAAACACATCAGGGCAGAGGTGGAGGAGAAATTCTCTTCTATTGGTGCCTCATGAAAGATGTTGAGACTAGTGGAGAGATGACTTTGAGGGAAGGAAAGTCCTTCTGGGAGGCAATGAGCAATGGACTTTGGATGCAGTACTTTTAATAGTCACTTCTAAATCGACTGGTCTTTGCTTTCCACACTCCTCCGGGAGGGGTCCATCCAGTGGCATTGTTCTGCATTCCTGTGATAACTTAAAGGGAAACTTGTACAATGTCTGGAGCCCTTGATGTCCTGCAAATGAAGAAAGAAGATGTCTTCAAATCCCTTGCAGTGGGAATCCGCTTAGGTGGCACCAAACTTGACTCCCAAATGGAACAGTCTACCTACAAAAGAAAAAGTAATGGGATCTACATCATAAATCTGAAGAGAACCTGGGAGAAGCTTCTGCTGGCCACTTGTGCCACTGTTGTGGTGGAAAACGGTGCTTAAAAGAAAATGTCCAGGAATGCTGGCCAGTGAGCTGTGCTGAAGTGTCCTGTGCTCTTGGAGCCCCTCTTATGGCCAGCGGTTTCACTCCTAGAACCTTCGCTAACCAGATCCAGGCAGCCTTCTGGGAGCCAAGACTTCTGGTGCTTACTGATCCCAGGGCTGCCCACCAGCCTCTCCCAGAGGTGTCTTATGTTAACCTGCCTACCATGGCTCATGTAACACAGATTCTCCCCAGTGCTATGTGGACATGGCCATCCCTCACAGCAACGAGGGAGCCCAGTCAAGTGGGTCTGATGTTGGCCGGGGAAGTTCTGTGCATCTGTGGCACCAATTCCCATGAACACCCATGGGAGGTCACGCCTGATCCCTAGTTCTGCAGAGATTCTGAAGAGTTGGAAAAGGAAGAGCAGACTGATGCTGGAAAGACTGTGACCCAGGAGGAATGGCAGGGTGAATGTGATGAGGCTTTGGAATAGAGGTGAGGTAAGGTGGGGTCTGGAGCCAACCACCAAGAAAGATGAGATGTTTTTAGTGCAAAATGGTGGTTTTATTAAAGCACGGGGCAGAACCTGTGGGCAGAGAGAGTTGCTGCACTGCGGGCTTGAGGAGTGGTGATTATATACTCAGGAGTCTCATGAAGTAAGGAAAATGGAGGTTTCAAAAGAGCTTTCTTGTGCTAAAGATGACTGATCTACAAGATACCTATAAGATACTGGAGGCCTTGCCATTGTCAAGTTAAGGTTGTCTTCCTCTCTAGCAAGGTATAACATTAAGATAGTTGGGAGATTCCTGGAGGACTGTCACAGGTGTCCCACCCAGGAGTGAGGGTCGTGGGGGGAGGTTGCAGGGTGTCCGCTTATGCTTTGTCTTTGGCTTGCCTTCTGCTCCCTCATCAAATGGACGGCTCCAGCTCCTGAGTTCACTGCTACTCAGCCTGAAGTCGCAGACCGGTCTGAAGGCAGGCAGGTGCCCTCTGTGCCAATTCAGCAGTTCCCTACTGAAGACTGGAGCGCCCAGCCAGCCGCTGAAGACTGGTCTGCAGCTCCCACTGCTCAGGCCACTGAATGGGTAGGAACAACCACTGAGTGGTCTTAAGCTGTTCTTTCACAAAGGCAAACCACGTGGAACAAGGTGGATAGAAATTAAACAGTTTCTTAAAAAAAAAAAAATCTTTTGGTCTTTGTAATTCTATTCTCAAACTTTCAGTAATAGTCTGGTGTTAGCTGTATTTGGAGAATGAAGGGAGGGGCCAATGGCCACACTTGGGATTTTCTTCCAGAGGGGTGACAGGCATAGATGGGTAGCTGGCAGTCCTGGGGCTCCAGGTGGTGATTTGCACCAGAATTCCGGGATACTTTACTGAGCAAGGGACACAGCTGTCATGGGGAGTGCCTGTGTTAAAGTTCAAGCAAGCCGGGAAGTCTGCCCTTAACTGAATCCTAGGTAAGGGTCAAGTGACAGTCAGGAATGGATTTGTGGGGCAGGAAAAAAGAAGGATTCCAGTACCGTTTGGAGAAGGGGATTGGATATTCTGTCACTAAATAGGGTGGGAGTTTTTCTCATTGATTTAAATTAACCAAAAGTGTGACTTCTAGATAACAAAGCGAGAGTTAATCAGCACTCCAGGCCAGCCTTGGGGGGGTGGGGGGGTGGGGGAGGAGGCCAATAGGTATTCCCCGGCCTCAGGTAAGGCCTCTTTAAGTTTCAGTGAAGCTTGCTTGCTTGCTTGCTTTCTTTCTTTCTTTCTTTCTTTCTTTCTTTTTTTGTCAGTCAAAACATACAACTTTATTGATGATACACAAATGAAGTCTTTGGTGGATTCAGTGAAGCTTTCTTTTGAGTTCTGCCCTTCCCTGTCCCTCCCCAAGGTGTGGTTTTCCTTTCTCTGGTTCCTACCGCACTTTGCACGTAATTATCTTGCAATTCGTAATCGTGTTTCTCCGGGTACTCACAAGGGCCAGGGACTGGCGCTGGCTCTCAGATCCTAGTTCCAATCCAGCTACACCACTAGTTAGCTTTGTGACTTTAGGCAAATAACTTAATCGCTCTATGCCGGATTTCCGGGGAGGTGAACAACGAGAGACTATGGACTCTGAAAAACAATCTGAAGGGTTTGAAGAGGTGGGGGGGGGTGTGTGGGAGGTTGGGGGAACCAGGTGGTGGGTATTAGAGAGGGCACGGACTGCATGGAGCACTGGGTGTGGTACAAAAAACAATAAATACTGTTATGCTGAAAATAAATTTAAAAAATGATTAAAAAAAAATGGGCACAAGACTCCTCCCCATCGCCTGGGGGTGCTGGGAGAAACGCAGGTGACCATGTGTGTAAAGTACTAGTCGTAACCTATATGCAAACTAAAGGGCGGTTAACAGGATATACATTTGTTAATTGATGTGAACTACCTATATTTTGTGCCCTCAACAAACGGTTACTGAACACCTACTGTATTTCAGGCGTCCCGAGCGCTCCCTCCCTGGTGGAGAAGCCTCACGTGCGGCCAGTGGGCCTTGCCCCGCGGGCCGTCTGGCGACTGGCTCGGAGGGAAGAGAAAACCCCGCCCACATCCTTTTCGATCTCGTCAGCGATTGGACTGGGACCGTCTCGCACGCATTCCGGTTGCTAGGTTCGGGAGGAGAAGGTGGGGCGAAGCTACGCGTGCGCAGATTGAGGACGAAGATGCTTTCCGGTCGGGCGGGAGGAGGTGACGTCAGGAGTGGTGGCGGGGTTGGGGGGGGCTCTTATAGCCCTCTGGACGTTTTATCTGTGGGCCCTCCGATCGCGTCACAAGTCGGCGACTGAGCCTAGGCGGTGGTGGCCGAGGCGGCGAAGGCGGCAGCGGCGGCGACAGCTCTGGGGTTTGCTTCTCGGGGTGTGTCGGCCGCCGCTGCTGCTTGGGCCTGGTATGTACAAATGGCTGGTTAGGATTCTCGGCACCATTTTCCGTTTCTGTGACCGGCCGGTGCCCCCAACCCGGGCCCTCCTGAAGAGGCGGCGCTCGAACAGGTGAGAGAGACGGGGCAGAGCGCCAGCCTGGCTGTACCCCCTCCCCCACCCGGGGCTCGGCCGGGAGAGCGCTGCTCCAGCCAGGCAGGCCCTGCTCGGAAAAAACAGCTGGCCGGGCCAAGGCTGTGGAGGTGCGAGTGGCGGGTGTCCTGGTGACGTAGTCGCTCCCTCCACGCTGTGCGGATGCGCTCCGGATGATGGAGCGAGCTAGTTGTCTCTGGAGTGGCGCGCGATGGTTAGGATCTTTGATGTTCTTGTCAGAGTCCAGGCTGCTTGATGTCAAATGGGGCTGTATCGTATCTTGCTACTCTTAGGTTGAAAACTAAAAATTTGAAGGAATACTGTCTGTGTTGTGGCTCACTGTTTACTAAGCACACTCCCAAGCGTCATCTGTAGGCAATAAATGCAGCTAAGGGAAGTGAGATTCATAGCTTGCCCAAAGCTGTTTAGACTGCAAGAATTGTTCTCTTAGCACCAAGAAACAGCAGCTGTTTTGTTCTGAAACAGCTGTCAAACTGTGTGTGTGTGTGTGTGTGTGTGTGTGTGTGTGTGTTTCGCGGGGGAGGGAGGGAGGGTGGTACCGTGCTTTAGAGTTAGTGTATGACGGAGAAAAATTAGGTGTCTCATTCCTTTAAAAATTGTACTCTAAAATTCAGTTAAAAATTTGGGAAACCTAAAAGTTGGTTTGTCTCATTTCATACCACCTTGCTGGAGAATTAATCTGGAGAATAAAATACCATACCAGTTCTCTACACCCCACCATCAACTTTTAGTTATCAAGTGTTCATTTCGTGTGTGTGTGTGTTTGTTTTTTTTTTTTAATTAAGCCTCAAGATTGTTGAAGGGTGGTTTCTTGGAGCTTGAGAGAACAAGATGATTTAGTACATGAGTCTGAGAATACAGGTCATTGATGAAATTGGCTGTTGGCTGAATTCCATCATGTGTTCTAGAGAGCCCAAGGTTTCATCCTATTTCCTATCTTTTTGTGAGGTTGTTGTGAGGATCATTTGAGAACATGTTGTAAAGTGCCAAAAGTGATGTTTAATATATATAAGGATAGTGTTTGTTTATTCTACACCATGGGCCTTGCGCCGAGGCTGGTGCATGATAGGCATTTGTTGCGTATTTATTGAATGAGAGAATGTTAATTCTCTCTCCCCTATCCTTTCTTTTTGCTCTGAATCCCTACTTTCAAATATGGAACAATGATTTGGAGATCAAAACCTGTTCTTCACCACATATCCTTAATCTAAACAGTTCTTTACAATGTAAGCCATTTTTCAGTCGAAACAGAGCCAGGACCTCTTAGGGATGCTTAAAGTTGTGAACTGAATGGTATTCTCCTAGGATTTATTCTGTTCATTTTTTTGGTAAAACTGATCAATTATAATCATCTTTTAAAAAGATGATTAATAGTATATCATAAGCCTTTAATATTCTTGAGGTATAGGTCCAAAACTTCCCAAATACCCCAGTTTTTTATTACCACTGTAATATCATTTCCATGATAGAAGTGCAGTTAAATAGAACAACTTCTCTAAGAATTAAATTTTAAGGCTTCTTGTATTGTCTACTTCTAGTAAAGTAGAAGATGGCTTTCCTTTCGGGGAGAGATGAGGAGATGTCTTCTTTCAAAAGGGAATTATTTGTTCTTTTAAAATCATTTCTGGAGGGCAGCCTGGGTGGCTCAGTCGTTAAGCATCTGCCTTTGGCTCAGGTCATGATCCTAGGGTCATGGGATCGAGCCCCACATCAGGCTTCCTGCTCAGTGGGAAGCCTGCTTCTCCCTCTCCCACTCCCCCTGTTTGTGTTCCCTTTCTCACTGTCTCTCTCTCTCTGTCAAATAAATAAATAAGATCTTTTAAAAAGATAAAATCATTTCTAGAGAGAAAAAGGAAGTACTAGTCCTAGGCTTTTACCTATGTTCATTTACTAAGCCAAGTGATTTCTGGCTAGTTTCAGGTTTATACTTTAGCCAGATTACAGATTATTATTTGATAGGGAGTTTTGAGTGCAAATAGTTTAAACAATAGTGTTAAGTCCTCAAATGGTAAAGGCCTCCTATAGAAGAGTGTTTTCTTTTTAAGCATCAGTTGAATCTCATTTTTTTTGACAAAGTGAATGGAGGAGATATGTTGTATGCATCCTAGGTTTACTTATAAAAATGGATGTATGTATATGTAAATATAGAGAGATTTTATATAATTTTTTCTTCTCTCTCTCTTTTCAGCACTTTGTTTTCTACAGTGGACCCTGATGAAATACCAGCCAAAAGACCAAGATTAGGTATTGAATATGATAATTTTTAAAATTAAATTTTTTTAAGTAGGGAAAGTATATGTGTGGGGCAAAATTCAAGAGGTAAAAAGTATGTACAGTGAAAAGTAAGTCTCTTTCCTGTTCCTTTTCTACTCAGTTATCTTTTCCAGAGGTAACCACTGTTATCAGGGACTTGATTATCTGCCCAGATAAATAAGGCTGTATTTGAACATGTATTTTAAAATTTTCAGTCTTCGTATAGAGAAAAGGTACTTTTTATTTTTGAGGACAAAACATGGTAAAAATCTCCTTCAAAATGAGTCATCTAGTTCACATAGCTGAGTGAATGAATCTAATGTGTTGCCCAAATTGTTTATTTCTCTGTATCCAGAGGGCTAGACGTGGCTTAATAGAAGAGATCAAACCTAGATTAAAGGAAAAAGGCACAATGGAGTGCTATAATAGTATTTCCTTTGTTTCAAAAATGAATGTAAATTTCGATCTACCTCCAGATGTGGTAGTTAGGAGTAAACATGTCTGTTAAGATTTCATTTAAATTCGATGAGTAGTTATTGAGCATGTCTTACTGCTAAGCAATGTGTTAGGTTCTGCAGGAAAAAGAAAAATGAGTAAGACAGGGTCTCTATTTTTAGGGACCTTAAGAGTTGTATAGGTATATGATTGTATCATCGAGGGTGTAAGACAAGCATATGAATAATTACTAATGTCAGTAAGGATATGATAAATGAAATAAGAAAGATAGTAACAAAATACTGTCTAATTTTCAGCTGATGAAAAGTCTCAGTAAATATTTGGTGAAAGAGCGAGTATGTGAGATGGATCTTAAAGTATGGGTGAGATATCAACAGAGCAATAGGAAGGGAAAGCATTCTAGGCAGAAGGAACAGTATGGGAGAGTTGTGCAATTCAGGAAACAGTGAATAGAACTCGGGAAAAGTTGGTGAGAGAGAAGGGTATTAAATAAAGAGGATTTTGAATGCCAGATTTATACTAAATTCATTAGGACAGTATTTCCCAAAGCACAGGGTAGATACTAGTTCAGGAAGTGATTTTAGGGGATACAACATTTCATAGCATTAAATAGCATGTGAATTATGTTGTATCCTTTTCATTTGTTTTTAATTTTCTGATTATTTCAAGTAGAAAAATCTTGATTTAATGCTAGTATGTTTTTGATACTCATCTACTACCTGTGACTCTCCCTTCTGTTAACAGGCCACCTAAAACTTACATTGTTATTTCATTTCTTTACATTTATAGTAGTGATACAAAGTTACCTTTCAAATACATTTACTTAGCAAAAAATATGAGTCAATTTTGAACAAAAATGTAAATAAATAATAGCAGGTCGACGGTGGTTACATCTGAAACTCATGTAGCATTTTGTGTCAGCTGTCCTTCAATCAAAACAAAACAAGAAAAACAAAAAGAACTTTGAAGGTGGTATTACAGAAGGTTCCTGAAATAATTATGGTGATCATCTATTTCATGGACTTCCTTCCATGTTAAAGACCCGTCCCTCCATGATTTTCATGAAATATGTATTATATGTATTATATATATATATATACACACACATATATGTGTGTGTGTGTGTGTGTGTGTGTGTGTGTGTGTATATATATATATATATATATAATAGTTTTCTGAATGGATACTATAGAAAGGAACCTAAGGCAAGGAACAAGCAGCAGGTAGCAGAGTTTGTAAAGGTCTACAGGAGTGCATTTGATAGACCTCTCCGTGATGATGCCTCTTGAGCACTTGAAATGGGGCCAGTGTGACTGAGGACCTAGATTTAATTTTAATTAAATATAAACTTAGGTGACTACTTGTGGCCACTGGCAGCTATGTTGGGCAATACAACTCTCTTGTTTGCTTTTGAGAGGAAGAAACAAAAGGAGGGTAGAAGGAAAAGGAAGACCTTAGAATCGCAGACTCACGATCTTAGAGATGAAAGGAATTTTAAGAGCACTAACTTAGTCTGTTGTGAGGAAAGTAAGGTGGTCTTATCCCCATTTTACAGATGAAGCAGGCCGGCCTGTCTTCCTTCCCACCTTCCTCCTCCCCCTCACTCTTCCTCCCTCTCTCACCTCCTCCCCTTCTTCCTCCTCCTCTTCCTTTTTTGAGTTATTGAGATCTTTTTGGCATAATCTCAAGGAATACCTAGATTTTAGGAAAAAAGTATTATAATACTTATTAGCATCCACTATTTAAATCTGTTAGTTATTAGGAATACCACATGCCCCCTGGGGTCTGGATAACAATCTGTGGGTCAAGCACCGATCTCTAAAGCTCTTATTCTTCCACTTAAGAAAGTATAGCCCAATATATGTGATAACCCTCAACATTACTAGAGGGATAACCTGGAATTCTCTAAATCTTAAAATGAGAAACAAGTAATTTGCAAACTTTGATACTTTTACCTATTCTCTGGTTACAGATTACTTCACATTGCATTCTGCTTACTTAGCTGTCACATCCTCCCTATTAAGTTATTCCCCTATTTTTCTATTTCTGTTTTATATCATTATACGTTCTGGAGTGCTTGTTGTTTTAAAGCCACCATTTCATTTTCAGGCTTCTTTTTTCCTCTAAAGCACAATGTGGATAAAATGATAGTCTCTTCTCTCAAACTAGTGCTTTAAAACCCTTAATTGGGAAATAGAAAGGAAATTGTAGAGAACCAGTCAGCAGCGTAGGAAATGAGAAAGGGGTAGTGTCATAAAAGGAGGAAGTGTGGCAAGCACTGAAATCTACCCCTCCCCCTTATTTACCTTATTTACCTTATTTATTTACTTACTTATTTTGTAATTTTTATTTCTGGTGGCAGGGAAGGGTACATCAGATCTAACATGTCTTTTCTCTCTCTCTTTTTTTATTTTTAAAATTTTCATTTTTCATTTTTTTTTTTTTTAAGATTTTATTTATTTGCCAGAGAGAGAGAGAGAGAGAGCAAGCGAGTACACACAAGCAGGCAGAGAGGCAGGCAGAGGCAGTGAGAGAAGCAGGTTCCCTGCCGAGCAAGGAGCCCGATGCAGGACTCGATCCCAGGACCCTGGGATCATGACCTGAGCCGAAGGCAGCGGCTTAACCCACTGAGCCACTCAGGCGTCCCTTTCATTTTTAATTTTTTAAAATTTTTAAAATTTAATTTTATGTTTTCAGTGTTCCAAGATTCATTGTTTATGCACCACATTCAGTGCTCCATGCAATACGTGCCCTCCTTAGTACCCACCACCAGGCTCACCTATCCCCCACCCCTCTCCCCTCTGAAGCCCTCAGTTTGTTTCTCAGTCCCAGTCTCTCATGGTTCATCTCCCCCTCCAATTTCCCCCAATTCACTTTTGCTTTCCTTCTCCTAATGTCCTCCATGTTACTCCTTACGCTCCACAAGTAAGTGAAACCATGTGATAATTGACTCTCTCTGCTTGACTTATTTCACTCAGCATAATCTCCTCCAGTCCCATCCATGTTGACACAGAAAGTTGGGTATTCATCCTTTCTGATAGAGGTATAATACTCCATTGTATATATGGACCACATCTTCCTTATCCAGTCATCTGTTGAAGGGCATCTTGGCTCTTTCCACAGTTTGGTGATTGTGGCCATTGCTGCTATGAACATTGGGGTACATATGGCCCTTCTTTTCACTGCATCTGTATCTTTGGGGTAGATACCCAGTAGTGTAATTGCAGGGTCATAGGGTAGCTCTATTTTTAATTTTTTGAGGAACCTCCACACTGTTTTCCAAAGTGGCTGCACCAATTTGCATTCCCGCCAACAGTGTAAGAGTGTTTCCCTGTCTCTACATCCTCTCCAACACTTGTTGTTTACTGTCTTGTTGATTTTGGCCATTCTAACTGGTGTAAGGTGGTATCTCAATGTGGTTTTGATTTGAATCTCCCTGGTGGCTAATGATGATGAACATTTTTTCATGTGTCTGTTAGCCATTTGTATGTCTTCTTTGGAGAAGTGTCTGTTCATGTCTTCTGCCCATTTTTTAACATGGCTATCTCTAACATATCTTCTCAGTAGAGGGATAGCCTTATTTCATCATAGATATTTATAGCTGCATATTTTATACTTCACTAATTCTACCTTGGAGTAGCCAGTGTATAATAGGCATTTAGTAAATAGTTATTTAGGACTGCATTGTTACCTGCCTAGGAAGTAAGGACAAATGAGTGAGTAAATTATAGTGCTTCCTGTCAGATTCTGCCATACTTAGTGTCTGCGTGCTGGAGGTTATGCCCCTGTCTCTTTGGTTTATTTATTTTATATATTCTGAAGAACTCATTGCTAGAACTCATTGCTTACAAGTTGTCATTTCAGGGCATTTCTTTATGAATCAGTATGTGATTTGCTAAAGTGATGATTTCGTGTTTTTGTAGCATCTAGAAGAGATACCTTATTGGAAAAACAAAAATCACAGGGTTTCTGGCAGGCTCAGTTGGTAGGGCATGCAACTCTTGAACTTGGGTTCCTGAGTTCAGACACCCCACGTTGGGCCTAGAGCTTACTTTAAAAAACCAAGCAAGCAAGCAAACAAACAAAAACAGGGGCACCTGACTGGCTTTGTTGGTAGAGCATGTGACTCTTTCCTCCGCCCCACCCTGAGAGGGAGGGAGAGAGTGTGCCAGAGAGGGTGGGAGGGGGAGGGGCAGAGGAAGAGAGAGAATCTGAAGCGGGCTCCACCACCAGTATGGAGCTCAGTGCAGGGCTTGATCTTAAAATCCTGAGATCATGACCTGAGCTGAAATCAGGAGTTGGAAGCTTAACCCATGGAGCCAACCAGGTGCCCTGCATGTGACTGTTGATCTCAGGGTCATAGGTTCAAGTTCCATGTTGGGTGTGGAGCCTACCTAAAACAAAACAACCCCCAAATCCCAGAATCACAATACTGGAAATCTAGTTATTCAGATAGGAGAAAAATTACTTTTATGGATACCTTCTTATTTCAGTGATTGAAAATTGGACTTCTAATAGAGATTGAGAGAGGCCTTTTCTAAAATACAATCTTATTTTTTTGCTAGAAGTTTATTACTCTCTATATATGTATAATCTATATTATATTGTCTAGATTATTTCATTCACCAAGTCAAAACCAGTCTCTACAATGCTGCCAGCTTATTTGGATTCCCATTCCAGCTGACCACAAAACCCATGGTAACTTCTGCTTGTAATGGAACACGGAATGTGGCCCCTTCAGGAGAGGTCAGTGGGGATAGTGTTTACATTGGGGCTACTGATCTTTGTACTTAATCATTAAAGTTAAAATTCAGAAATATTCTTTTTAGGATTTTAGTGGAATGACATTTCTTTCCAGAAATATTGATGTCTTTATTGGCCTTGATATAAAGGCCAAGAAAAAATATTTATAAAGAGCCCAATTACTAATACATCTGCTTTTCTTGTATAAGTATATGTAAAGAACCTGAAATTGTTATTTTATACATAATTTTGTGAGTCTTTACCAATTAAACTTTTGGTCTTACTGATAATGTTTCTTCTCTGAGCTAGTGAAAGAATCACCAATAGAGTGATTTTTTTTATATTAAAAACTTACTTAACTTCTAAAATTGAGATACTACAGAGGTGATTCTATTTGATTTTAAGGTATTTTCGAACTCTTCATCTTGTGAACTGACAGGTTCTGGATCCTGGAACAACATGCTGAAACTGGGTGAGGTGGTCAAAAATCTTTCTGCTTTCCTATACCTCTTTCTGCCTCTGTTTTCTGAGTTTTGAGAATATGAAAGGAAAACAAACACTGATTTGGGTTGGTATGAGAGCACAGACATATTCTGTCTACCTTCTAAAAATTATTGGATAGTTTTCTTTTAGAATTGTCATTGAATTTATTGTTTGTGTTTTCTATTTGTATTATGAGTGTCCTTAATATGACTTGATTCAGAGTTCATTCATTAAAAAAAACAAATAAAAACATTTCCTGAGAGCTTACTCAGTGTCAGGCATGTGTTAGGTTATCAAGAATAACAAAAGGACAAAATAATACATAAAACCTTTCATAACACGGAGGACATTGGGAGATGGAGAGGAGAAGTGAATTGGGAGAAATCAGAGAGGGAGACAAACCATGAGAGACTGTGGACTCTGAGAAACAAACTGAGGGTTTTGGAGGAGTGGGGGGCTTGGGTGAGCCTGGTAGTGGGTATTAAGGAGGGCATGTTTCGCATGGAGCACTGGGTATGGTGCATAAACAGTGAATTTTGGAACACTGAAAAGAAATGAAAAAAAACAAAACAAATAATGATAAAACCCTGTCTTTGAAGGACATCATCTGATTGGGGAGCAACTTTAGGTTTCCAGTTCTCATAGTTTTATGGATTAGGAACCTCCATGTCATTCTTGGAGCCCAAAATTGAATTGTTTATTGTACATAACTGTATAAAATTCTGTCATGGGGAAAAAGAGGAAGAATCCAGAAAACAGTTATTGTACATAACTGTATAAAATTCTATCATGGGGAAAAACAGGAAGAATCCAGAATCCTGATAATGGCTGAGATCTATGTCACACAGCCTATAAAGTTTGAGATAAAGGGATAAGAGCTCTTAGAAAGGTTGTGGGTTCAGGAGTCAAAGTGGAAGAAACTAAGGAAATGATAAAAACCTTACAGTAGTAAGTTTCCTTCTCAAGCTTTTTAAGTAAGGTATTTCTGGTGGCAGAGAAGAGCAAAGGGGAGTAAACGCATACCCCTGAGTCTGAGAATCTAGTTCCAAAGGACCTGGAACAAAGATAATACTTTTTTGTTTTGGAGTCTTTCATTTCATTTTAAAAGTTAATACAAATTGGATTTTATAATCTATTCACATTGTTTGAATATGTAAATGTTAAACATTATTATTAAAATGGACATATGGAAGGGATGGTGTGTTTGTCTTGTGACTGAGGCATCAGCACTGTGTTTCTGTGCGTTCGTGTAGCCTTGTCAGAGAAGCACAGGTATTCTGGGGGCGGGTTTCTTGTATAAAGAGGTCTACAGTCTCTTACTTGAAATCCTTGAAGATGTGTTGGGGAATTTAGAATTTTTCATATTTTAAATATATTGTCTTTTTTGAATATTGTTTTAAAAAAGTCCCATTCGAATTGAACATTGGTTCAAATCAGGTTTTGCAAACAAAGGAATTCAAGTCAGTTTAAGTTCTGCTGCCACAGACTTAACGAAAAAACTTTCAGTTTTAGATCTCTTTACATTTTGGAGTCCTCAGGGGCTCCTCGGCTGTGCAGTAGCTGCGGCAGTAAATGTGACTGATGAGAGTTTGGTTACCCTTTTATAAAGTCCAGTAACCATCTCACAAGTGCTTGAGGCTGCTGGTGAAATGTGGTAACATATAGCAGGTTTTTGTTTAAAAATACTTCTGTTTTCTTGGGAAAAAGAAATGATTTGAACAACTCACTCAATTTGGGTAGATTACATGGAGTTTGTAATCATTGAGTTCCTCATGCTTCTTGATGGTCCCAGACAGGGACACTATAAAAGCTTACCTGTGAATTTTTATTGTCCCTCTGAGTTCAAACAGAAAGTGCTGTTGCTTTTTCTTCAACTTTTACACTTTGTGCTGGATCTCTGTATGGTAATGGCATTTGAAAGAATAAGATATTTAGTTCTGTAATGTAGACTGTTCACAAATTTTCCAATGCAGACCGCTCACAGGTTTGGGGTGTGTGTGTGTGTGTGTGTGTGTGTGTGTGTGTGTTTTATAATTACAAATGCATTTTTAAAATAGGTAATAAATCTCCTAACGGAATAAGTGACTATCCAAAGATCAGAGTGACTGTAACCCGAGATCAGCCCCGCAGAGTCCTGCCTTCCTTTGGGTAAGTGTTAAATCCTGCCTTTTTGTAAATGGAAACTTAGCACTTATTAGGTGTTCTCTCTTAGGCATTCACACTTTTGTTCTGTTATGTAAGCTTGTTAAGTAAGTAGTCTGAGGTTATTAACTTCCCAGATATCATACAGCTATTGAGAGATTTGAATTCAGGTGTGTGTTACTTTCTCTACATAACAGCCTATGCTTATAGCATCTGATTTTGAAAACTTTTTAAAAAAAGATTTGCTCACTTCTAAACTTTATTTTTTTTTTCAAGAATTTTATTTATTTGAGAGAGAGAAAGAGTGCACAAGCAGTGGGAAGGGGCAGAGAGGGAGGGTGAGGGAGAATATCTCCAGCAGACTTCATGCTGATTGTGGAGCCCCACACGGGGCTCAGTTCCATGACCCTGGGATCACAACTGGAACCGAAACCATGAGTTGAACACTTAACTGACTGAGCCACCAGGCACCCCTAAGCTTTGGTTTTTTTCATTAAGTTTTTAATTTTAATTCCAGTATAGTTAGCATACGGTATTATATTAGTTTCAGGTTTATAATCTAGTGATTAAGCAATTCTACACATTACTGAGTGTTCATCATGCTAAGTGTACTCTTCATCCGCAACACCTGTTTTAACGATCCCCCCCACCCAACTTCCCTAAACTTTATTTTTTCCCTAAACTTTATTTTTGAAGTATAATATGCATATGGAAAATGCAGAAACCATGATGAATTTTCATATACTGAACACATCAATTTTGTGAACTCTTCTTCTTTTAGTAGTAATTTTCTTTTCCTTTCTGTGTTCTCACATTCTAGAATTTCTATTGCTTGGATATTATTTTTCTAATTTTTCTCTATATTGATCTGATTGATCTAAATTTTGTATGTATTCTCTTCTTTTGTTGCTCTCCTTTCCCCTAAAAAAGAAATCTTTTACTGATTTTTCTTTTTCTCTCTTTTTTTTTTTGATGTCATAGTTTTTAAGTCAGAAGAGTCCTCCTACTTCTTCCTCTTATGGTTTTTTTTCCTTGCTCTAAGAATCTTATTCTTATTAAAAGAGGCAAAAAAGGGTCTGCCTGGATGGTTCAGTTGGTGGAGCATGTGACTCTTGATCTCGGGGTTTGTGGGTTCAAGACCCCTGTTGGGCAGATTACTTTAAAAAAAAAAAAAAGGTGGCACCTGGGTGCCTCAGTGGGTTAAAGCCTCTGAATTCGGCTCAGGTCATGATCCCAGGGTCCTGGGATCGAGCTCCGCATCGGGCTCTCTGCTCAGCAGGGAGACTGCTTCCTTCCTCTCTCTCTGCCTGCCTCTCTGCCTACTTGTGATCTCTGTCAAATAAATAAAATCTTAAAAAAAAAAAAAAAAAAGAGGCAAAGATGGATGCCATATCTTTTCTTATCTCTCTAGAACTGTTAATTTATTTTAAAATTTCTTCATCTCCTTACTTTGTTTCCTCTGAATTCCTTTCCCCACTTTGGTTTATTTTGGTCTTTTCTTTCATATTAGAGTCTTTTGTTGTTGTTGTTGAGCTATAATATATTAATTTTGACATAATGATTTGATGTTTGCATATATTATTGAAAGGTTCACTATAATAAGTTTAGTTAATGTCTATCACCATACAGAATTATAGATTTTTTTCTTGTGATGAGAACTTTAAAGATCGGCTCTTTCAGTAACTTTCAAATATACAACATGATAGTATTAAGTGTAGTCACCGTGGTGTGCATTACATCCTATGACTTACTGATTTGATAACTGGAGGTTTGTACCTATGAGTTTGGCTTTATTTGCGTTTTTGATTCCACATATAAGTGAATCATATTTGTCTTTGTCTTATTTCACTTAACAGCATACCCTCAGGGTCCATCTGTGTTTTTCCAAATGGCAGGATTTCCTTCTTTTTTATGGTTGAGTAACATTTCATTTCAATGTGTATTTTCTCTATCCACTCATCTATCGATGGACACTTAGCTTGCTTCCATGTCTTGGCTGTGGTAAATAATGCTTAGGTGAACATGGGGATGAAGTTATCTTTCAGTATTAGAGTCTTTGTTCAAATATCTGGTTATGTTTGGCCCTCCATTCCTGTTTAAGACATTAACATTAACTGAAAAGCAGCCTCTTTGGAGTTGGATAAATAGCTGATTGTAGGGCTAAGAGAGAAAGTATGAACAAGTATCATTTTGTTATTTCTTGTTTAATTCCATTAGAGTTAGATGATACGCTGTAGTATATTTCGGTTCTTTAGAATGTGTTAATATCTGTTTTATGTCCTAGAATATGGTCTGTCTGGGTAATGTTCAGCGTGCACTTGAAAAGAATATGTATTCTGTTGTTGGTGGTGGAATGTTTTATAATTGCCACACAGGTCAAGTTGGCTGATGATGTTTTACAGGTCTTACTGATTTTCTATTTTTTTGCTGATTGATAAATGAGGAGTGTTGATATTTTATAATTATGGATTTGTCTATTTCTCCATCTAGTTATGTCAGTATTGTCTTCATGTATTTAAAACTCTGCAAATGAGTACATTTGACCCAGATTCATCAGTTGTTACCATTTTCCATATTTGCTTCCTGCTCTGTCATATATACCTGAATTTTTTTCTGAAACATTTGAGACTCTTAGACTCCTGTCCCTTTAATCATAAGTGCATGAGTGGGTTTCTTTTTTTTATAAGAGATTTTTTTTAAAGATTTTATTTATTTATTTGACAGAGATCACAAGTAGGCAGAGGGTGCGGGCGTGGGGGCGGGGAGCAGGCTTCCTGCTGAGCAGAGAGCCTGATGAGGGGCTCGATCCCAGGACTCTGGGATCATGACCTGAACTGAAGGCAGAGGCTTTAACCCACTGAACCACCCAGGCGCCCCTGAGTGTGTTTATTTCTTAAACGTGAGGACATTCACTTACATAATCATAGATAAGCAAAATCAGAAAATATAACGTGATACAATACTATTATGTAATCTCATTTAAATTTTTCCATTATAGAGAGGATTTTTTTCTGGTCCAGGATTCAGTGCAGGATCATGTAGTACATTTAATTTTCATGTCTTTTTGGTCTTCTTTAATCTGGAACAGTTCCCTAGCCTTTCTTTATCTTTGATGGCATGGATATTTTTAAAGAGTAGAAGGTATTTCTTTCGTAGAATGTTCTCTAATTTTGTCTGATGTTTACTCATTACTTGTTCAAGATTATGCAGTTCTGTTTGCTTTGTTTGTTTGTTTGTTTTGGTAAAAATACTACATTGGTGGTTTAACCTTTTGAAAACATTGCATCAGGGGTGCCTGAGTGGCTCAGTCGTTAAGTGTCTACCTTCAGCTCAGGTCATGATCCCTGGGTCCTGGGATGGAGCCCCCATCGGGCTCCCTGCTCTGTGGGGGGCCTGCTTCTCCCTCTCCTACTCCCCCTGCTTATGTTCCTCTCTGGCTGTCTCTCTGTCTCTGTCAAATAAATGAAATCTTAAAAAAATAAAAAATCACATCAAGGTGGGTGAGACACCAGTTTGACACATTATTGGTAAGTGCAGGAGAGGCAGGCTCTGTCAGCAGCAACAAGGACTAGGTGGGGGCTTCATGGCTTCCATTTCTTTAATGGTTATTAATGTAGCATTCAGGAGATAATTACTGAGTGCCATTTGGCCTAGATTCTGTACTAGGATACAATAGTGAAAGGATGTAATCTCTGTTTTCATGGAATTTAAAGTTTAGTGTGGGTTGTACACATTAAATAATGACACCAGTAATTAATTCCAGTGGTGCCAGGTGACTAAAGGAAAAGTGTAGCACCAGAGGAGGGTGTATGTCACAGGAGAGCTAAATCCAGAATTGTGGTTGGACAGTTGGGCACGAAGAAGAAGGCAGAGGCTTTCGTGTGGCAGTCCTGGTGACCGCAGACAGACATTCCATAATGGAGGGGGTGCCCTCTGGTCTAGAGATAGATTTAACTTTTGTGAATGGCAGGTAGTTGTCTGATTTGACAAGAGCAGGCTTAACCTCAGACAGATAGCTTAATCACAGGTTGTTCTGGGAGCTTAAATTTCAGCAATTTAAGGAGTTTGTTAGTAACTTTTTCTTTTCTTTTTTTCTGTCTTGCAGTTTTACTTTGAACTCAGAGGGGTATAACAGAAGACCAGGTGGCCGTCGTCATAGCAAAGGCCCTTCAGAGAGTTCCTTAACCTGGAAGCCTCAGGAACAGGTTGTAACAGAGATGATTTCTGAAGAGGGTGGCAAGGGTCTGAGGCGTCCCCACTGTACCGTGGAGGAGGTAAGCCCTTTTAGCTTAAAAAATAGTTTAAAATAGTTAAAAATATAGTTTTAAAAATAGTTTTAAAATAGTTTGAAAAATAGTTTATGAATTTCCCAGGGAATCAGTAATAAGTGTACTGGGATACAGAGTTCAAAAGGGATGGAAAGGTGTCCAGTGACTGTAAATTTCCCAGTCTCCCTTCCAGTACCTGACCCTACGACCCTGTCTGATGGTTAGCAAGTAACCACTGATATACTTGTATGTACCCTTCTGGAGATACTGTATAAATACATAGTTAATCAATTTTCAGATTTTTTTTCGCCATAGGACAGAAAGGAATCATGCTAGGGAAAGAGAAGTTTCTGTTCCTTTTGGGTATTTGAATTCTTCTACTAACTTGTTTCTTTTATAAGGCATAACTGTGACTGCGTAAGAGAATTAAACAGTGAACTGCCCACTTTTCCCTTTTTCAGGGCACTTAGTGTGATATCTTCATCAACAGTCTTCTTTTTACTTCTCTCCTGAGATCTTTGCTTATTCTAGGAGAATTTAGAATTATTCCTGTACTTGGTATTTCCCAGGACCATCACCTATTACAGTTTGCCAGATGGTTTTCTGAGCCATTTAGTTTCGTTGGTCAGAGAGTTATTGGAGGTCCAGGTGTTGTGCTCGTTGTCAGCAATTCAAAAATTGAATAAAATGTGGTCTTTGTCCCCTAGGATCTTGTACCTAAATAGTTGTAATCAACAGAGGCAAGCAGAGAGAGGAACAGACTGAAGTAGGCTTCAGTATCTCTTAGATGAGAAATCAGAGATGGGGCTGAGCAAAAATTTAGGGTATATACAGGATATATTCTAGAAATATTAACGGTAATATTAGCGAGTCCATGTTCATTGGGTAAGGATAATATAAAGTTAGAAGAGCCCGAGTCTCAGATTTCAGTCTTGGATAAATATGTGTCCCTGGCAAAGATACCCTATGTGTTTAGTGGGAAGATGATGACTTTAGTTTTGGACATTGTTTAAAGTGCCTGTGAAACATTCAAGAAGACCTGTCTCATAGACTCTTGGATATAGGTGATTGGAGAAATGAGAAGAAGGCAGGGTTAGAAATACATTTCTGAATCTTCTGTATATTGGTGTTTGACAAATCAGGGGAGCTAGAGAGTTACTCAGGGAGAGAATGTAGTGTGAGAGAAGAGATAATGGGCAGACCATCGGCATTTGAGGGCAGGCAGAAGAAATAATTGGCAATGGAGACGGAGAAGATCAGAAATCAGGAGTGTATTGTCTAGGAAGGCAAAGGGAGGTCAGCAGGGTGAGGTGTTGGAGAGAGAGAGGTCAAGTGACGTAAGGGCTGAGGAAGTGTCTGCTTGCTCTGGTGGTGGAAGTCATTGGTGACCCTGATGAGACCAGATCCATTTTGGAACCTGAATGTTCTGAATACGCAGGTGGATTATTTCTGTTGAGTTTTTTGTGGTTGACAAAAACTGTCAAAACCCCAGATGCCATCAGAGTCTAGCAGATAACATAAATGAGTGGGGTGGGCTGGAGCGAGTGGCCCAGCTAAGGAAAATAGCCCTACCCAGCTCCAGATTGTCCATTCAGTTTTCTGAAAGAGGGCAGATTTTTAGATTTTTCTTTTCAAATTTATAAAATTGGTAATTGAAGAAATTTAAAAAGTGCTGGCAAATAAAACACATCTGTGGGCTGCATTTGACCTCTTGGTCTCTGTTTATGATTTAATGATAGCTTTAATGTGTTAAAACTTAAATGACATCCTTTCTTTTATTTAGGGTGTTCAAAAAGAGGAAAGAGAGAAATACCGAAGGTTACTGGAGCGACTTAAAGAAGGTGGTCATGGAAACTCTGTTCCTCCGGTAGCTCCTTCTTACCACAGGTAAAAATGAGCTAACAAAGTAAATGCTTTGCCACACATCTTTTTCCTTATTTTTGGAGAGGGGATTCATGAGAAAGGCTTTGTTGAAAAAAGAGGTTTACATTGAGAGAACTAGCCTTATAGTTTGCCTCAACAGCGTATCTAGTAATAAGATACAGAGAGCACAGTGGTTTTACAAAATAGATTTTTCTGTTAGCTTTAGGATCTTTTGCTCACGTGAACTCTTGAAACTCTGATATAGAAAAGTAGAATTATAGGTGGAAATCAAGTTCTGAGGGAGCAGAGTGTTTTCAGCCCCTCCAGCATACACATTTCCCTTAGTCTCTTGTCTTTTTCTGTCTCTTTCCCCCTCCTTCTCCTTTCCTGCCCAGTTCTCCCTCTCTCTCACCCCTAGCCTTTCTCTCTGATATACACACAGTTTCTGTGGCATGTCAGCAAATGCATTTTTGCATTATTGGAAGTCCTCCACATTAAAAGTAAGATTAAAGTTGCCCCAGGTTATAGAAGATTTTCTTCATAAGACTTCTTGTTAAATATTCTAATGCTTTGGGCAAAAGATGACAGTAGCAGAAGGCGCTGATGTCTGGCTTTATATTCACCTGTGAAAAAGGGACAAAAAATATGTGAGTACAAGATTGAGGCACACAGGAGAATTCTAACAAGTGGTATGAGAATACATGGCGGGGGTTGGGGGATCCTGGAAATTATGTAATGGCAAGTTGAAGGTAAAAGTCACAAGGCTGTCTAGCTTGTTGAATGTACAATAGCAAAAGATTATTTGTCTAGGAATTTTAACTTTTGTTGAGGTTTTTTTTTTCTTTCTTTTTTTTTTTCAAATCGTTTACTCAGGCAGAATGTTAATATTTTCTCTGTTTTGACTGGCCCCTGTTGGAAGCAGCAATATGCTTCACGGGCTTTTGCTCCTGTCATGTTGGCAAAATCCTCAGACTATTTTGCTATTTACATCCCTGGTTTTATTGTATTGTTTTAGGGTCCATTTCATTATGTCATTCTAAATATTTCATCTTTCAACTTGAGTTTTGTCATACTGAGGTTGTTTGGTTGAGATGGTGCTGGGGATTGAGAACATCTAATTTTACCAACATTGAAACTGGAGGTTAGGGTAACTTGACTAAAATATTAGCATCAGGCTTACACTCCTTGTATCCCAGTCCCAGATGGTGCTATGTTGCATCCTCTCCTAATTTGATGTTACAGGGTAATCAGTAAGCCCTGTTTCAAGGAACTTGTCAGATGGAGGTAATATTTATGGTAGACTTTCCTTTTGTATCTGACCTTCTTCACTTTTTGTGTTCCTAAGCTCTCAAAGAAGTCAGATGGACACATTAAAGACCAAAGGCTGGGGGGACGAGCAAAGTCACGGAGTCAGAACAACTCAGTTTGTTCCAAAACAATGTGAGTTCCCAGATCTAGCCCTATCTCCGTATACTGACCTTCGTTCACGTGCACATGAAACTGAGAAATGACGTCCTAGTGAAAGATGGCGTACCAAAGTTTGAAACATTGTGAGACCCCAGGGCTTTGACTTGGGCTTATCCAGTATAAGTAGTTTAGTAAAAAGGCTATTTCAGGACGAAGCAGATTCATAAGATAACTCTTGATTATTATTCCTAGCTTCTACCTAAGCAAGTATTTTGTGAGCCTAAAATTAATTTCTTAATATTTATTTTATTAATTTCTTTATATTTCTCCACTAGCTATTCACTAAATGGCACTAAATGATAAGTAAATGTCTTGATACTTTGGAAACTGTGTAAGTTGAAACTCCAGCTGTATTATTGATTAAAGAAGGAAACATTTAATCTTTTCTTTATCATCTTCACAGACAGAGTTGTTGAAACAAGGGGACCTTTATGCTCAGTGAGAACTGAGAAGAGGTACATGGTTCAGTTCATTCTAAGTTTTCTTTTGATCCATTATTTTCTTCATAAGCTATATTGATGAATAACTATGTCTAAAGAATTCTAAATTCTCCTTAGCTCTGGTAGCTAGTCAGCAAAAATGGGTACACGGGTAGCTATTGTGTTAGATGCCCACCCTAGCTCGGAGGGTGCCCTTATGCTCTGGGCATTAGGGGTTGGGAGATGCAGATGCTACTTGGATAGGAGTGTGGTTGCAGTGGGTATCTGTAGACATTAGCACCCCTAGTATAAGAACAGTGAAGGCAGTTCTGTGTGTCTTTAGGATTTTGGATGATAGTTATAGAAGAGTTTGGGGTAAGCTATGGCCTTTGTCCAAATCTGATCCACCTGCCTATTTTTTTAAGTAAAGCTTTATTAGAACAGATTCACACTGATTCATTTATATACTGTTTGGCTGTTTTTAATCTCTGATGGAAGTTGAGAAGATGTGACAAAAGCTGTAAGATTTGGGGCACCTGGCTGACTCAGTCTGTAGAGCATGTGACTCTTGATCTTGGGTTCCTTAGAGTCATGACTTTGGGCCCCCCCAAATTCAACATACCGGTTACTTAAAAAGAAAAAACAACACCAACAAAAAACAAAACCTGTAAGATTTGCAAAGCCCAAAATATTTATTCTCTGACCCTTTTCAAAAAAACTTAGCTGACCCTTGGTTTAGAAGACTAGATAAACTCAAGGTGGTTTTTGTTGACAAATTATTAACTCTTATTTCTAAAATTAGTCTCATGTGTGCCAGTTAAAATTATCCAGCCTATACTCTCCCAATATTTTTCCTCAGGTGTTGTTCAAAGGGGAAAATTTCTGATACAGAGAGGACAGTTGGAATCAGACTTGAAAATGAAGGTGTAAGTGGAAACTCTAGTTAAATTTTATGTTGTTTTACTCTTTCACCTGATCTGTGTTAAAATATTGGTGTTCATGAAAAGAAAGATGAAAAATATTACTTTGATTTCTAATTTGATCATTTTCTTTGAAAAAGCAGCAGGGATTGAAGATATACAACTTTTGGCTTCCTTCTGAATTCCCAGATTTTTACCTCTGTATAGTAGCCACTGTTTTTGTAAGAGAGACCAACTTGTATCCATCCCAACCCTCATCTGTAGTACCTGGCTTCTTTTGGAGAATTTTAAAAAACCATATGGTTTCTAGGAAAGATATGTTCAGGACCTTTTGAGAGTCAGGAGCTCAGATTTATTTCAAAATTTAGCGATCTTATGCTTAATTGGATTTTACATTTTTCGATGTAAGTACTGGAATAAAAAGTGTTCTGTGGTCTCCATAACAATACCAACCTTTTAAATAATAGCAGAGTGTTTTGCTAAACAGCCTGTATCCAAAAGAAATACATTTCTAAATTAAAGGCAAACTTGAGGTTTTAGATTATTTCATGTTTTAGATACATAGAAATACCAAAATTTAGGGTGCTGCTTTATGTGAAGTACCTCTTCAATCAGATTTTTCTTCTCCCATTAGACCGCTATGTAGGTTGAGTGTAGGTCTCCGAACATCCCTGTTCCCAGTCATTTGTAGTGAAGCCTTTTATATAGAGTTACTGTTTTTCGCCTGTGGAACACCAGCTGTGAAAGAGGGAAATTATGGCTGAGAGAGCACAGAGAGGGAGTATATTTGAAACCTGGCTAAAGACTACCTGGTGCTTCTCTCAGTGCCAACCTGAAGGCTCTGCTGTCTGGAGCCAGCAGCTGCTGGTTTCCTAGGGCCGGGATCCCTGGCCATGAACTAGAGAGAAGAGTACTGGCTCGGCCTCTGGACACTAGTGTGGTTCTCGTCTGAAGCTCTCTTGCTAACTCAGTTAATTAATTTTAAAAGTTGGGCTACTCAGTGTCTTAAATTCACTATTTAAGGTCACATAGGGTCACAATAAGGAAGGATATTGTCAGAGTTTCTGGAATGCTGGCAGAGTTCTATTTGCTGACCTGAATGGTGCTTATATATGTGTTCATTTTACAAAGATCAGGTGGTACGTAAATGTTTGTACATTTTTCTGTAGTAAGTAATTCCTTTAAAAAAATGAAATGGATCAAGTTTACTTATTATAAGGATAGTAGTACTTTATTCCAAGTGATAGGATTGTGGGTCATAGATTTTGCTTTTTAAAAAAAACACTTCAAAATGTCTTATAACCATCTTATTTTTCATTGGCCTAAGAGAACTGAAAAGACTTTTCTTGCTGCCTACAGGGAGAGTGATGAGTGTTCTGTTTCATGGTTTATAATTGAAGTGTCCTGTGAACCTTAGGTCTCGAGCATTTTTTGTTCCTCTTGCAGGGACAGGCAGATAGACAAAATCTCCTTCACTTACTTGGGAGATTCGCTAAAGCTCTCAGGACAATGGCACTGTTCTGTGTTTCATGTGTTATGTGTATTTATATGTGTAAATATCAAACATGTCAATAGAATATAGACACTTTTTTGATCAGAGGAGGGGACACCAGCTGGAACCTGACCTATCCGAAGAGGTGTCAGCCCGACTCCGCCTGGGCAGTGGGAGCAATGGCTTACTCAGGAGGAAAATGTCAATACTTGAGACAAAAGAAAAACATTGCTCAGGCAAAGAGAGGGATAAAAGGATGGAGGATCTTCTTGAACTCACAGAGGTATTGTTTCTTGTGTTGATCAGAATAAGAGGCATGTTTTTAAATGACTTTAGTTACCAAGAATTGAACACATGTTTTATTTTGAGGAGTTTCTCCAGGCTAGGGACGAGTGTATGAGAGGAATCAGGTCCAAGGGCTGTCCAGTCACTGGCTACATTGATCATTAGTGATCTGTGAAGGTGGCCTAAGGGATCAGATTAATGTTCAGCAAATGTGAGTAGACATATTTGTCACATATCTTGGAATATAATGGGTTCTTTGCAGATTTTTCTTCAAATATTTTGGGTTTCATAGTATGGGTTTGGCATTAGGAATGAGTTCATTGCATTTTTAAAAAGTGATTCTTATTTACTAAAATGTCCCTTTCATTGATTATTGCATTTGAAAATAGTGAAAACTTACTTGAAACACCAAGGAAGTGAAGGTAGTTAAAAATTCTCATTTTAAAAGTGAGCCTATATCTTGGCTCCTTTTCCAGTGATGTGTTAGTAGGTGGTAATCAGTCAGTCCTATGCAGTGAGAACCTGTTGAGCACTTACTATATATTGGACATGGAAGTGGAGAGATCCATAAAACGGCACAGTTGTGAGCAGTGGAGGAAGCAGGATTTAAAATATTTGAATGGAACTAATTTCTGTTGGGTTTATAGATTCATCTCAGTAGCTTAAATATGCATTTATCTGCATAATTCTTCGGAATAATGAAGCTATCTATTCAGTGAGGACTCAGTTGGTAGACCAGAGTTTCTCCCTGTTTGCTTATTCCCTTCATGTCCAAACTGTATAGTATGATCTCCAAGGGGTTCTAATTCTATTACTTTGATGATTTTAAATAAAAGGTTAGTAGGTAAATAAGGAAACGTGAAAATACTTAAAGAGTATTGTGAAAATACTTAAAAGAGTATTGTGAGAGGAGCAAAATCTGGAAAGTTAGACACCCCGGGTTTCATGCTAGGCTCTTCCTTTTAGTAACTGTCTGACTTTGAGCACATAACCTAAGTTCTCTGAGCTTCCCTGCTTCTATAAAATGGTAATAATACTTTCCCCACAAGCAAGGATTACTGATGTGCTTCAAGGGTCTGGTACCATGTTTGGCTCATAGTGCTCAATAAAGGATAGTGGGATAATTGAAACTGTACTTTAAATGTAAATATTATTATCAAATTATTGTTTCCAGAAGCTGGTAATTGAACTAACATTTTTATAACTATTAGTAAAACTGCTTTGTACTGTAGAGATGAAAAACTTGTTTTAGCCTCAGACTCTTGAAATCTGATTGTTGTTCTATTTAAAATACAACCTCTGGACTTTCTAATTCAGGACATGGAAAGGGAAATCAGTAATGCCCTAGGTCATGGCCCACAGGATGAGGTCCTAAGTAGCGCTTTCAAGCTGCGAATCACTCGAGGTGACATCCAGACCTTGAAGAACTATCACTGGCTCAATGATGAAGTAAGTTGTTTTTTTCCCCCCAATTCTATCATTATGCTTAACCATTTGCCATCTATAGCCAGAGCAATTTCTACGTGATTGTAAGGGGTTGGGAAAGCAGCTTTTAGTTTCATTTAAAACAGAAACATCTCAAATGTTAAAATGGTGGTCCGTTCTGATTCTTTGATGCCTTTGATTGGCCATGTGTCCCTCTTCTGCATCGGTGCTTTGTTTCATCCTCCACTTTATTTACTAGTAGTCTTCAGTGACTTTTTTTTTTTTTTTTTTTACTATTTTATTTATTTGTTTTTAAGTAAGCTCTGTGCCCAGTGTGGGGTTTGAACTCATGAGCCCGAGATCAAGAGTCAGTCACATGCTTTCCTGACTCCGCCAGCCAGGCACCTCTTCAGTGACATTTTTATAACCTTGGGTGTAGCTGATGAATAGAAAGAAGCAGCAAGTGATACTTAGTTTAGAGGAATTCTTACAAGAGCCTTTTTATTTTTCCAGTAGTAAAGGGATAGATTGATCACTGTGCATACATGTATCTATAAAATGTTTCTTTTTCTTGGAGTGATAACTATAAAAATTTGCCAAACTGTCATCTTGTGTCCTTACATAGTTAGCTAGAACAAGCTCTTAGTTCTTGCACGTATTTTAGCTGGTCCTTTCCCTAACTCCCCAAAGTCCCTGCATTTTACCCCTTTGCCCTCCTTCCTATTCCCTACCCCAGACTAATGACATATAAACACATTCTTATAAAACTAGTGTTTTTGTTTTACATTGTAAATGTTATATATTTATTATAGAAAATTTGGGAAGTACAGGAAAAGTAAAAGAAAAATACCATTCAAAAGTGCCACCACTCAAAAATAAAAAAAATACTAATATTTGGGTGTATTTTCTTCCAGTTAATATTTTTTATATATAGTAAAATTTATAAATAGTAAAATTCAATTCTAGTTAGTATTTCTGCATATTTTTTTCATGTGATGAAGTTATGTACACCTTTTCATTATTGAAGACTTTCTCCTTGAGTTCCTTGGCTCTTTTACTCACATGCTTCAAAAGTACAATTTTACTCCTTAAGCCCTCCCATTTTGCATTCATTCTTTTTTTTCCTTATTCTGCTGTATACAGTCCCTTCATCCCCATCTCTAGTACCTTCCTTTCCTGGAGCTTCTTACTTTCTAATTCATCCTAATTTAATTAGGTAGAAATTTAGTTTTGGTAATGTACTCGCCATGTTCTGATGCTTATTCCCTTGGTATTACAGGTCATTAATTTTTACATGAATCTTCTGGTGGAAAGAAACAAAAAGCAAGGGTATCCAGCACTTCATGCATTCAGTACTTTTTTCTATCCCAAATTAAAGTCTGGTGGTTACCAGGCAGTGAAAAGATGGACCAAAGGGGTCAATCTCTTTGAACAGGAACTTATTCTGGTGCCTATTCATCGGAAGGTACATTGGAGCCTGGTGGTGAGTTGAGAGGGTTAATTGTTGGAGTCTGTATAATGGCTGTTTTCTTGAATAAGGAAGGCTACCCTTTTCTGTCCAATTAAAAATCCGTTAGTATATATAAAGGCATACCCTATAGAGTCCCTTCTTGGTTCTTGAGTTGAACAACTTAGAAAGCTATATGGCAATTAACTGAATTTAAATTTAAAGAATAGCGCAGGGGCACCTGGGTGGCTCAGTGGTTAAAGACTCTGCCTTCGGCTCAGGTCATGGTCCCGGGGTCCTGGGTTTGAGCCCCGCATCAGGCTCTCTGCTCAGCAGAGAGCTTCCTCCTCTCTCTCTGCCTACTTGTGATCTCTGTCTGTCAAATAAATAAATAAAAAATCTAAAAAAAAAAATAGTGTGAAAAAAATATAAAAATTAAATTATAATCTCACACAAAGCTAGATGGCATACAGGAAAACAGCAAAGAGTTTTAATACACATATGAGTTCTTTATTTGATTTCTTTAGTTTTGTTTACAAGATGGTACCATTTTATTATAGAAAAGTAAAGGTATAAAGAAAAAAAAAACAAGAACAAAAAAATCTCATCACTTTGAGAAGATGACTAATGTTTTGCTGGTTAAGTTTCTAGGCTTTTCCCTGGGACTGGAAGTATATAATTTTGTAGAATGAAGCTCATATCTCATGATATGATACTTTATTAAAAAATGTGTCTTAGAGGGGCGCCTGGGTGGCTCAGTGGGTTAAAGCCTCTGACTTCGGCTCAGGTCATGATCCCGGGGTTCTGGGATCGAGCCCCGCATCGGGCTCTCTGCTCAGCAGGGAGCCAGCTTCCTCCTCTCTCTCTGCCTGCCTCTCTGCCTACTTGTGATCTCTGTCTGTCAAATAAATAAATAAAATCTTTAAAAAAAATAAGATTAAAAAAATGTGTCTTAGAAATATATTTATGTTGATACTTGTATTGACTTTTTAAAAGGTGCTCTTCCTTTTAGAAATAAAATTCTGTTTTGGTTAAGATGTTTCTGGATGTTGTATTTTTCCATTACAGGTGATAGACCTAAGAAAAAGGTGTCTTAAATATCTGGATTCTATGGGACAAAAGGGCCACAGGATCTGTGAGATTCTCCTGTAAGTAAAGGCTGAACAGCTTTACTGTTGTGTCATTATGCCCTTGTTAGGTGATCTATCTTCTGTTTAATCCAGGTCGGCTCTGGTGGCTGGTAGTGTAATGTTGAGCAAAGGTTATTCTCCCAGTTGTTCAGGAATTGACTTGAATTCATCTTCTGGTCAAACCCCCCCCCCCCCAATATCTGATCTTAACTGAGAATTTTTATTTAGTAGCATCATTGGAAATAAGTTTGTCATGCATTGTAATGTAAAATATGTCTTATTAGACTCCTGTGATTTGAATTAGGGTTCTTTGGGATTGACACATTATTCTGAATGTTCTGAAGAGCTGTTAACTCGGGTCTTATTCCTCGAATTCTTAAACCTGCTCATGTCTCTGCTTTCCATGATAGTTGGGTTCATCTCAGAACCAAGAGGTAACGTTTAAGTTAAAGCTTATGGTTTGTAGGCAACTGTTTCGAATAGTAATTGCTAGAAACCTGCCTTCAAAGCATAGCCACTATTAAGCTGTGTAAAGTGGTGACATGAATTTCACAGTGAGGAAGCAGTTCAGTAAGAGCAGTCTGTTTTGAACCCCTTCTGCTCGCTGGAAGCAAAAGGGGGTTCTCGTTTTTAATTTTAGTAAGGATACTTGAATAAGTTTATAAGGGTACTTTTTAGTAAGGAACCTCTTAAGTGAATGACAAGAATATTTGTTTTTAATAACAATTAGTTCAGTTCTCTCTTTTTCAGTATTGTCTTAGTGTAAAAGATCCTTTTTATTTACTATTTGAATAGAAACTTTAAAGAGAAGAAAGTTTAAAAAATTATACGAGGGGGTTAAGGGGGTAGGAGAAGAGTAAATGAAGCAAGATGGGACTGGGAGGGAGATAAACCATAAGTGACTCTTAATCTCACAAAACAAACTGAGGGTTGCTGGGGGGAGGGGGGTTGGGAGAGGGGGGGTGGGGTTATGGACATTGGGGAGGGTATGTGCTATGGTGAGTGCTGTGAAGTGTGTAAACCTGTGATTCACAGACCTGTACCCCTGGGGAAAAAAATATATGTTTATAAAAAAAAAAAAAAAAAAAAAAAAGAATTCTGAATGACCTGAAAAAAAAAATTATACGATACACTGAATTGTTATTTCCTTCTAGTCTTTTCTGTTTAAGATGTATATAAAATGCACACATATATACATGTGCACAGACACATACATATTATCACATATATAGACATGTTCTCGCTGAAATCATACAGCAGAGTTTTGTGTCCTGATTATAATAGAGTACAAAAGAATTGTACTTCTTTCACACCTCACTCTTTGCTTTTTCTTTCTCCCTCTCCCTTCTGTGGGATCTGAAGCCCACTCCCTTTCCTGATGCTCCTAGTTTAGCTTTTTTTTTTAACCTGTTTTTCCATTATTACCTCCCCACTCAGAGAAAAATGTAATTTAATTTCTCCATGACAAGAGAAAATAGTGCTAAGGAATAAGACTTTCGGTCTGTTGGGTTTAGAGGGCTACAAACCTTTGAAATATCTAAGATTCTTGCCTCCCAAGAGCCAGTTTCCACCTCCACCCGCTCGGGGGCGGGATTTCTCCCACTGAGGGTGCAGTCCAGGCACCGGTTGCCTTTACGGGAAGGTTAGGATGAGAAGAGAGATGCCTGGCTTACATTTGATAACCCTCTGAAGATCTGGATAAACTATACTTAAGTATATATCTCTATCTCCTAGGAACAAGGAAGTTCCCTTACGTAATCACAATGTCATTATCACACTTAAGAAAATTAGCCATCAGAGGCACCTGGGTGGCTCAGTCAGTTGAACATGTGACTCTTGCTTTTGGATAAGGTCATGATCTCAGGGTGGTGGGATTTAGTGCTTAGCCGTGTTGGGCTCTGCGCTTAGTGGGGAGTCTGCTAGAGATTCTTTCTCCCTCTCTCTCTCAAATAAATTATTTAATCTTAAAAAAAGGAATATTAGCAGTCTTTGTAATTTTTGGCTCATGTTCTGATTTCCTCAGGTATGTTTTATAGTTTTTTCCCTAATCCAGGAAGCCGGTCAGAGTTCACACGTGGATATAATATCTCTTTAGTCTAACTTAGAATAGTCATCCTTTTTTCGCTTTTCATGGCAAAGGCTTTTTTTGTGGGGGGGATTCTAGGCCAGTTGTCTTATTTTATACTCACTTTAATTTTTAATTGAAGTGTAGTTGACACACAATGTTATACTAGTTTTGGGTATGTAATTTAGTAATTTGACAACTCTAGTTATGCTGTGCTCACAAGTATAGGTACTTTCTGTTTTAGATCTTTTCTTATTTTAACTTCTGGTTTAGTTAACATACAGCGTTATATTAGGCTCAGGTGTACAATGTAGTCAATACAGTGATTCAGCCATTACAGAGCATTGTATGTAATCAGTGCACATCACAGTAAGTGTGTTCTTAATCCCCTTTACCTGTTTCACCCATCGCCCCACATTTTTTTTTTTAAAGATTTTATTTATTTGACAGAGATCACAAGTAGACAGAGAGGCAGGCAGAGAGAGAGGAGAAAGCAGGCTCCCCGCTGAGCAGAGAGCCCGATGCGGGGCTCGATCCCAGGACCCTGGGATCATGACCTGAGCCGAAGGCAGAGGCTTTAACCCACTGAGCCACCCAGGTGCCCCTATATCCATTTTTAAGTGAGAAAAAGCAAGTAGTGCAATGAAGTACTTTTTATTTTATTTTATTTTTAAGATTTATTTATTTATTTATTTGACAGACAGAGATCACAAGTAGATGGAGAGGCAGGCAAAGAGAGAGGAGAAAGCAGGCTCCCCGCTGAGCAGAGAGGCCGATGTGGGGCTCAATCTCAGGACCCTGAGATCATGACCTGAGCCGAAGGCAGAGGCTTCAACCCACTGAGCCACCCAGCGCCCCTTGAAGTACTTTTTAAAATAAAGTTTATGTTTTTAAATTGTGAGGAGTGGAGAACTAGAAGAATACGTAGCGAACTTATTAGTAATTACTGCTGGATGGCTATTAAGAGGTCTTTTGCCTTTTACATTTTACAGGTTTTAATTTTCTAAAGCATGTACTTTAAAAAAACATATTTATTTGACAGAGAGAGAGAGAGATCACAAGTAGGCAGAGAGGCAGGCAGAGAGAGGGGGAAGCAGGCTCCCTGCCCAGCAGAGAGCCCGATGTGGGGCTCGATCCCAGGACCCTGAGATCATGACCTGAGCCGAAGGCAGAGGCTTAACCCTCTGAGCCACCCAGGCACCTCAGCATGTACATTTTTTGTAAGCAGGAAAAATATTAAAAACCCAAGCAATCACATTTTTAAAAAAGCTAGTGAAGATGAATTGGAGAGTAGCCCGTCTGTAATCATAATGGTAAGTCTCTGCAGGGATTCATCAATATATTCCTTCTTTGTTGTTTTTTTAGTCAGTATTTACAGGATGAAAGTAAGACCAAAAGGAATATTGATCTGAATCTTTTAGAGTGGACCCACTACAGCATGAAGCCACATGTAAGTGACGATCATTTGTATTTGAAGTGCTTTGTTGTATTTACTGACTGGCGTATTGTGTGGACTTGGCTTCCTCCCGCCCCTCTCTCACTCATAACCCTTAGGCATGCATTCTCTTGAAGTATATGTCTTAAGAATTATCTACTTCTAAATCTTTAGAAATTCATTTCACCAAGATATCTGCTTCTTAGCCTATATTTCTTGTTTAAATACGCTGGGGCACCTGGGTGGCTCAGTTGCTTAAGCATCCGACTCTCTCTCTTTTTTTAAGATCTTTACTGAGGTGCAGTTGACATAAGAAAAGTGCGTTGGACAAGTTTTCACATAGGTATATACATGTGAAACCATCATCACACTCATGATAATGAAGATGCCCATCACCCCAAGAGCTTCCTTATGCCCCTTGGGAACCCTTCCCTCCAGTTCCTCCCTGGCCCTGGCCCATGCCCGTGCCGCACAACTCATCTGCTTCCTGCCAATTGAAAGTGCTGTTGCTGTCCACTATTTTAGATTGTCTGTTGGAAAGGCCTATGATTCACACACCATTATCACTGGCTATGAACAATGGTTGTTTGCATTTACCCAGTTCTTTTACCAGTTTATTGGCTCTGGGTTCATTCTTGCATCTCCGACTTTTCTTGGGAGATCATTTTTTGGAAACATATCCTTTAAAAATTCTTGTAGTCAGTGTTTGGTGGTAGTAAATGTTCTTAGTTTGTGAAAATCTGAAAATGTGTCTACTTCATCTGCATACAGGAAAGATGTTTCTCTAGGTTGTCAGTGTATGTTCACTAACAGCTCTGAAGGTGAGTCCACTGTGTTCTAGTTTCCTTGTTGCTACTGAGACATCTGATGTATAGCTCCCGTTCCTTTGCAGACAATTTGTCCTTTCTTTTTGGACTTTCTTAAGCATTCGACTCTTGATTTCGGCTCAGGTCATGATCTCAGGGTTGTGAGAACCATCCTGTATTGAGCTCCACAGTCACAGGGAGTCTGCTTCTCCTTCTCCCTCTGCCACTTCCCTGGTTTCTCTCTTTCAGATAAATAAAAGAACATCTTTAAAAAACAAATTGTAAATAATAACTATATGCTAGGATGTAGCATTTTCATTAGCAGAAAAGCTAATAAACTGAGGTCAGCTCTTTTTCTTGGTTGGTGCTAATGAAGGTTTAAAGTTCTTGTTACTTCCTGGGAATTTTGCTTATTTAGGTCTTAAAGGTCCCATGCCACAGGTCCTCAAGACTCAAGTACGCTTTTAGTGAATATGCATTGTATTATATTTGCCAGATTTGAATCTCATTCAGGGTTTGAGAATACGTACATTTTTGAGTCCTAATGGCTTCTTGTAAAAGTAGGCTGCATGAATTCAGTTTTAACCCTCACCTGTATATAATGGCTCCCCTACCTTTACTCAAAGAATTTTCCTTCCTAGGATGAATAATTAGAAGGTTAAGCTTTGAAATTTCCTGAGGAAAGCACAGATAAAAGGTGTCTGTTAGGATAAATACCATGTTCTGGGATGGGGAATGTAATATAGAAAACAGATTCTCTTCCTTTGTACATCGGCGTCTGTAGTTCTGTCCACTCTGTGGGAGATGCTGTGCTCAGGAGAAAAGCATGAGCTCCCTCCCATATGTGGGGCTGTTGTGCATGTTCAAATGATCTTTTCTTTGTTTCCATACATCTGTATTTCTTTGAATAAAAATTGAACTTTTGTCATCTAGAACATTTTCCAGCAGGGGATTCAGACTTTTGTTCTTACTGTCTTGTGCTTCTTAGAGCTGACAACCAAAATGTGGGGCTGGCCAAGATTCGGGCAGCAGAGGCCCAGAGTGTATGACTTTAGCTCACGTGGATTGGTTTATGATGCCTTCAGCACTGCTTGCAGTGAGCTCTGCTCTTGCCTCAGTACAGAATTGAGCCGTCAAAACAAGATCTTGATTAAAGCCTATTAAGAGGCATTTTTTCTTTTCCCTGCTCGTAGCTATAGGGGTCAAAAGTTGTGCTCTTATTTTCCTGTGTAGAGAAGAGGAGTTAAACCCTGCAGTATTGAAGTAGGTTAAGTTTTATTGTAAGCCTGTTTCTGATTGAGCCATATTTAGCCCTTTTCAGAATTTATAAAGTGCTTCTGAAACCATTCTGACTAGAATTCCTGCTCCTAGTAATAAACCTTCAGTTTGGTTTCTTAGTATGAGAGCCAAGAGATGGTTGTCTCACTTTGCTTTTCTTTTTCTTTCTGAAAAATATCTTCTGTGGGGGTCATGAACTCCATGTCATGGTGAGGGTTTTTATACCATATGAAGATGGTTTGTGTAGTACCTTTAACATTTCTTTATAATATTGTTTATCTGCTGTAATATTTATGAGAAGTCAAAGGATTTTGTGTGTGATGACATTTTATCCCTTTCTCCCCGCCCCCCCCCCTTTTTGTAATTTTAGGAGATTCCTCAACAGTTGAATGGGAGTGATTGTGGAATGTTTACTTGTAAATATGCAGATTATATCTCTAGGGACAAACCTATCACATTTACTCAGGTGAGTGACACCCCCTCCTCACCCAGACTTGTTAGGGAACAAGCTCACCTCTGAGCTCGTTCCCAATGCCTGGTACACAGTGAGGTTAACAATGGCAGTCGTGCCACTGTTATCACTGTTGTCACCTTCTGGGTGGCCCCTCTCCTACTGGGGTCAGTGTTTGTCACTGCATCTACGATTAGGTTGCTCTTCCTCTTTGGTGGCCAGTGAGGCAAATTGTATATCTCTGAACTCCAGTGTTCACTAGCTCCTGAGTGTTAACTGATATTTTTGGCCAAAGGAGGGGGCAAGTAAGAGTGTGTGACACCCGGGGAAATAAAGCCTTGTGAGAAGTTAAGCTGGGGGTCTGAACTAGAACTACAAATGCTGCCTTTCCCTTCCGTGCTGGTTACTTAGGGTTCTCTATGGCTCTGTATTTGAGTGGGAATTTGAGTGTGTTGGGAACTCTTGAGAATTTGTTTGTAATAGTGGATTCTCAACCTTTTTATAACTGAGGACCAACCCCCTTTAAAATATATTTTTCTTAACAGATCTCATTTGGATAAATGTCTACCAAACTACTTACTAAGTAGGACTAATGGCCCTATTCCAAGCTGGTGAGCAATAGGATAACTAGGGCTCCTATGCTGAATTAATACAATTATAGTAAAAAATAAGGCACTTTTTATTGGTTAGTTTTAGCAGTTTTACTAAGAATAAATGTGTGATTTTTTTTTTTTTTTGAAACTCCATGTTTTGAGCTATTTAAAATAACTTACACATCCATGTGTTAAGACTTTTTAGGCCCCTCCAGGTAGGAAATCACTAGTTCATAGTAAAGTGGTATATCCGTCTTATGATGAGACACCAGGAGTACCTCAAAGGTATGAACTTCTGATGTCATCAAAAAGAGGACTAGTTGAGTTACAGGTAATTTTGGTTTTGTCTTGTGTGTTGCTGCTGCTTTGAAAATTGGCTCATATAGTGATTATCATAAAGCAGAATAATAGATCGCACAAAGCCATGTCATTCTTTGATGCTTCTAAATAACAAGGAGTTACTTGCTCTCTGAACCTACTGACATGAGATTTGAAGGGCACAAGTGGCCATTTGAAGAGAATTGGCAATGTACAACATATGGTAAAACAAAGAAATTTTAGAATTTTTATTCCTTTAAATAAAGTTCATGTTTTCTCAAAAAAGCAAAATATGTTCATTTTAGAATGTTCTGTAAGTATCTGTAAGAAAAGTTTCGTATTATGCTACCACTTGGGTGTTTCCATTTTGGTTTACGTCTTTGTTACGAAGTAGTTGTGGGATTCTGTTGTATAATTCTGCAACCTGCTTTGATTTTCCTTAACATGTAAAAATGTTTCTGAGACATACAATATAATAATAACAGTATAACCTCCTTATTTATGGCTTTGTAAGTCTGAACCATGACACGAAAGAGTCAAGGCTTCTATAAAGGACATGGTTTCTTCCATGGTTACACCACAAGGTTGTTGAAAGGGGCGCGTTACTGTGTAGTGTGTGATACGTTGTTTGTGGCCTGTCTGCAGCACCAGATGCCTCTCTTCCGGAAGAAGATGGTGTGGGAAATCCTTCATCAGCAGTTGCTGTGAGAATGCCCCGCCCAGTCCCTCGAGCTGCTGGTGGTTCTGTCACGGAGGACGGATGTTTCCATATACCTCATGCATCGTGGGTTCAGAAGTCCCTGCATCAACTCTGTTGTCTCACAGGTACTGAGCTGTCGGGCGTGCGCGCCGGCCTCTCCCGCACCCTGGTCCTGACGTGCTGTGTGGAGGTTCTGCCTGCAACCCCATGTGTGAGCCTGTGCCTGCTCAGAGCCTGGACTGTTCAACCCACACAAGAACAAACGCTAATTAATAACTTTTTTTTAATGATTTTTTTTTCCCTGTGAATGTGGGAAATGCAGGATTTACTCTATGATTTGTCTTTTGTGTGTGTTTGTTCACGTGTGTTCATTCGCTCACTCATTAGCAGACATAATGGGCTGTGGCTATGTGCTGCTGCTCTTTCAGTTAACTCTGAATTACCTGAACTATTTATTTTTGAAAGGAGTGTCAATCAAGCTCCACTCCCAGCTGAAGATCAGGAGGGCAATCAGGGAGGTGGGGAGGAAGGAAGTGTTAATGAACTTCTCTAAGGCTGGAGCAGAGACTGCCAACTCGAAGCTGGAGATCTTCTTATGTTGGAGGCTTGACGATGCCGGGAGAAGCGCTGTGGCTGAGGGCTTCGGCCGCCTTCCAGAGCACGCCTGACACAACAGCACTGGTGTGGGGGCATGGAAAAGTGGAACTGTGGCTCTCCACGCGTCTTCAGAAGAGTGTCGTGGTCATCCTAAAGAGACCGTGCTTTCTGGAAATGAGGTGACTTGGCTACTCTTGAAACTGGATTTGAAGTAACTGTAAGCCCGAAATCTTCATTTTCATCCTAGATCTGGTTAAGTATAAACCTCAGAATTGTAAGGGCTGGCCTGGGCCGTTGATTTCAAAAAGATACTATTCACTGTAAAAGCTATTTTTCCTCAAAGTTTTTTTTTCTATATATAAAGCCGAAATTAAGTTTTGTACTCATTAGGATTTACATTCCCCTCCCCCCATTCCATCCCCACTGAAATTTGGAAGAAAATTTAGTACTTGGCTCTGAGGCTGCCAGTTATACAATAATCTATTTTGCATATGAAAGTTTGTATTTAACTTTTTTGTTCATTAAAAACTTTACAGTGGTTACGCATTTTTAATTTCAGAAAGTTTAGAGTTGGTCAGAACATATTTTGCAAGATCTAGTGCCTAGTGTTGCTTTTCCGATGTAATAAAGGTTGTCTGGCAGAACCTGAAAAGTATATGCTGAAATGATTTCTAATCCTTTCCGTACCTAAACCTCCCAAACTTGTCCTGGTGCGCAAAAGCAAGGCGGTAAAACCAGAAAAATCGGGCATGTGTTCGCCATGAGTCAACGTGTCTGTCACCTGGAGGGCATGGCCGCTGGTCCCAGGGGCATGGTATTGTAGCCAGTTTTCCCCAGAGATGTGTCAGAGTCTTGGTATGGGATCTGGGGCTGGGCAGGAAGTGTTGTGCCTGCTTGATAGGTACTCCGGAGAGCACGCGCTGGATGCTGATTAAAAGGGTGAGCTGGCTCTGCTGAGTCTCCCTCAAGCTTAGGCTGCACAGAGCCTTTTCTGGAGGCTACTGGAGCTGTGTCAGTGAGTGCTGGGATCGAGCAGCTGGTAAGCCAAAAGCCAGAGGTTTACTGGGTCAGCATTAGACTAGAAACCTGGTTCCCACTTGGCTCTTGGAGGTTTCCCCTGAGAATTTAGTACCTTGGTTAAGATTTGTTCCACGTGCGGTAAATCCCGAGGAATGGCGGTTTGTATTCTGCCCCAGTGAGTGACGCTGGGGTTTCGTTCGTGTTAACACCAGTTTTTGAGGGGCTGCTCCAGGCAGCTTTCGCTGAGCTGCCCACTACTGTGTACTCTTCAGGACAGTCCTTAATCATCTCCCAGGACATAACGAAATCGGTGAGAGCAGAGCGTGAAGCTAGAGAGTGGCATCCTAGTTTACCCTGAGTTCCTGGATTTAATAGTTGCCACAGGCTGTGCTTCTCTAGACACTGATGTGTCTCTCTCAGTGCAGAGAAACTTGTCGGTAATAGAATTTTTATATTTAAACAGCTTATGAGAAAAGCAGTCAGGTGATAAAATCAACAGCTGATCCTACCAGTAGCCAATTATCAACATTAAAGCCAGTGGTAGATACAGACTTCTTTTTAAATTGCAGGAGTTTGGGGATCTGAAAAGTTGAGTGGACCATTGCTCTTTTTTAGTAGGCAGTCTCTCCTAAAGATTGATAAAGATGGAAAAAAACCACAAAAACTATTGGTAAGCAAGTATCTTTCTCATGTTTGACCTTATACCAAAGCTGGTATGTGGTGGGAGGGACATAGACCTGGGGCATTTGGAAGATGTTCTGGAGAGCCCTATATTCTACCTCAGTTGCCAAAGACTATTAGAACTTCTGATCTGTTCTCCTCTGAAATCCTAAGCACAACTTGAGGAATGCCACGTTGAGTGGTGGCTGTTTGCCTGCACTGTAAGGAGTTGGTTGGTGCTGGGAGAATGTGTCCTTGGAGAGCTATTGAACCTCAAATACAAATAAATCAAGGTTGAGAAATTTAAGTCTGTAATAACTTTAGTATTATAGTTAAGCTACATAGTTTAAATTGGCTTTTGTGAACTAATTGGGAACCTGATCTCTCGTTTCTTTGAGCAAAAATTCTTTAAGCACCCAATATTCAAACAAACTTTTGGTATTGTTTCTAAGTTAGAGATCTAGCTGGCTGTATTGCTTTGATAACTTCTTTTTTTTCTAATTTACCTAATCTATAAAATGAAGAGTTTGGGTGTATTGAAATAGGTGTTGATTTAATCTATTTATCAATAGATATAGGTATTGATTTTATCAAATCAGTAGGTGTTGATTTTTATCTTATTTACCAATAAATTCATGTATTTAATTCAGTGGCTTTCAAATTTTTTGATTGCAGATTTTTTGTATTTTTTATTGTGACCACCACACACACATATATATATATATAAAAAATATGATTTTATGTGGACACAAAAGTTTCACAAAAACACTACTTATCCTTGCTAAAACTCCGATAGTGTCATTTCTTTTTTTAAAAAAGTGTAGGTTTTGACCACCGAGCTGATTTCTCAACGCACTAATGGATAGAAATCCACTTTAAAAAGCTCAGCTCCAAATCACCTGACAGCAGGATGCAAATTATGTTTAAAACTATAAAGCTGGAGACCACAAAAATATGGTCAATGTGGGACTCTTCTGAGATGAATCAGTCTCAGTCTAGGAAAATGGGCCAGAAGCTTTCAGACCCTCAATGGAAATAATGTAAATAGTCCTTGTTCTTCAGGTTTGTGCTCTGGCATTTCTAAACTATATTAAGTACAAGTCCTATTACTTCTATGTAGGATATGAAAGAATGGTCCATGAATGTGTGTGTCCCGTGGCTTTTCCTCCTGGGACGCACAGCAAACATTAGAACAGATTAATGTTGGAACCTCACGTTTCTGAACTCTTGGACATGGAACCTTCCTTTGTGTGTCACTTGTGGAACTGTTGTATGGAACACACTTTGGAAAGTGCCAGAAGTAACACCAAGTGCAGAAGAACGTACCTCAAAAACACACTGGGGGAGCGCTGCCTCCACCGGCCTCTAGCACGCAAGCTGCCTCCTGAGGGCCATGTGACCATCCAGTCTGGAGTCACGCCTCCGATTTTCTTTCATTGTATCCATAATAGGTTCTCGTAGTAGAAAAGTAAAATGCTGATAAATGGTAAAGAATGAGAATTTGCAAACTCCCCATTCAGAGTTAGTAACTGAACATTAACATTTTGGTATATATCCTGGCCTTTGGTATATGCCCCTTCTTATATATATAAGTAAGTGTGAATTGTACATGTTCACACATGTATCTTTTTTGTTATTAACAAATATAGAATCATACTACATATATATGGCTATATAACCCCCTTTATACTTAGTTTATCTCGAACGTATCTTCATGTCAGTAAATACTGACATTTAGTGTTGCATAGTATTCCAGAATATGGCTATAACATAATTTATTATATTTAGTATTGTTGCACATACCATCTTGCGCCATGTTTGGGTCATTCTCTTAGGAGAAATTCTCAAAATTCCCGAGTTAAAGTTAGATATATTAAAAACAAATTAGGGTGAAAAAATCACCTATTGGTATTTTGACTGATTACTTCTGACACAGGATAATGTGTATCTCCATTGTTTAAGTATTTTTAAAATTTTTAATCTTTATTTTTTATTTCTTAAAGATTTTGTCAGAGAGAGAGCAGTGCACAAGCAGGAGGAGTGATGGCAGAGGGAGAAGCAGGCTCTCTGCTGAGCAGGGACTTGATCCCAGGGCCCTGGGATCTTGACCTGAGCCAAAGGCAGATGCTTAGCTGACTGAGCCACCCAGGCGTCCCTAAGTATTCTAAAGCAAAACCTTCATGTGTCATTCTACCTAAATATTTAAGAATGTCTCCCTAGTAATACTTAAAAAAAATCCTCAATCATTTTCACATCTAACAGAATAAGGATTTGCTAATATCATCAAATACTCAGTCCATATTCAGATTTTCCTGATCACTTAACAAATGTTTTGTTCTATTCCTCTAATCAGGATATATAGTGGGCTGAATGGTGGCCCCCCAAATGGTAGGTCCACATCCTAATTCTTGGAACCTGTGAATATTACCTTCTGTGACAAAAGACGATTAACTTAAAAGTCTTGAGAAAAAAGAGTTGATCTTGGATTATCTGGGTGGGCTCAAATGCAGTCACGGGCCGTATAAGAGAGACTGAGTTTTGAGACAGAAAAGGAGGAGGTGTTAAAATGGGCCTAGGCAAGGTCTCTATTTTATACTAATTTTTGTGGGGGAAAAAATCTGTATATCTTTAAAAGTCTGGGAGAAGATACCGAGTGTTAATAATGGTGGTCTGGACGGGCTGTTACTTTCTTCTTTATAAACTCGTTTTGGGAGTTTAAAGAAAAGGAGGAGGCAGTAAGACCATGGAAACCAAGTCTGAGGTGATGTCGCCACGAGCCACTGAAACCTGGAGCCGTGAAAGCTGGAGGAGCCTGCGGGGGCACAAGGCCCTACTGACACCTGGCTTTTGGTATCCTGGCTCTGGAACTGTGAGAGGATACATTTCTGCTTTAATCCATCCGATCTGTGGTAGGTAGGTAGTTACAGTGGTCTCTGGAGTCTAATTCAGGTTCCAGATAAGAAACCTTATTTGATGTGTGTTACCTTTGATGATTACCAAGCTCTTGAGACTCACGGGCAGCAGGGGTCTCCCTCCCTAAACTCTTATTAGAGAAATTGCCATGTCTGTGGCATGTCCCACCTTCCAGATTTGGCTTAGAGCTCCTTGGTAGTGCTTAGATATTTCTACCAGCCCTTGTATTTCATAGAAACTGGTTAAGTGTAATCTAGTGGCTGGAATGGATTCAGGTTGAAGTAGGTGAGGACACTTCATTGCTGTCCCTGTTGTATTGCATCTGGTTGTCCTGCTTAGTGGTGCTAAGATCAGTGGTTCGGGCTATAAGACTTCCTATCCATCTTTCTCTTCTTGGTTTTAAATTTGATGGCCCATTACTTCATTAAAAGGTACAAATGGTACTTTTCTAATTCTGTCATTACTTCTGTGTTCACTGAACTCTTGAATTCTTCTGTTAAAGAAACTTACTATTTGGTTACCCTGAAATGCGCTTCATACAGGAAAGAATATATGTTTTGACTCATTAGTACTCTGTTGGATGTCAAATGCCCTATTTTGGACTTCTGCGTTCTTTTGACAGAATCCCACAGGTCTGAGGGTGATAGCTTTCTTGCTTAACTGGTATGCTAAAGGCTCATGTTACACATCTCCTGCTCCAGGCCTGAAACGGCCATTTATTGAAGGATTTCTTTTAGCGAGAAATTGTAGAGCCAGAATTTGAGCAGTGTTAATGCTGATTACCACTGGGTTATGGGTGCTTCTAGGCCTTTATAATCGCCAGACTAGAAAATACTTTTTCTTCCAAGGGACGATTTCCAATTCCAAGGTGAGAGCCTAAGGATTTTCTTTCTTTTCTTTCTCTCTTTCTTCCTCGCTCTTGCTCTTCTTTCAGATTTTATTTATTTGACAGAAAGCAAGCACAAGTACTGGGAGCAGCCAGAGACGCAGGCTTCTCTCTGAGCAGGGAGCCAGACGTGGGGCTCAATCCCAGGACCCTGAGATCATGACCTGAGCTGAAGT